ATATATATATATATATATATATATATATATATATATATATATATATATATATTTATATTCCCAAAACCCTCATTAAATCGATGACTCAAATAGATTCATTATATATGTTGCGAAAAAACTGGCGGAGGCAGGTCATCGGTTTAATGAGGGTTTTGGGAATATAAATATATATATAAAAATTGGGACTCAAGGATCAGTCTAAGTGTGGAAGGTTGATTCGCCGCGTACGATAATCGAAAAAATTGCGATACGTGCGTTTAACATGCTGGACATATTATCCTCCCACTATCATATTAATATTAAAAAGTAGTATTAATATCTAATAGCAATAAACATCCGTGCTTGCTCCTTATATGCCATTTTCAAATCTTACTGTTAATCTTATTGCCTCGATTTATTAGAATTATTCAATTTATTACTCCTCATAAAATGTGAACAACAAAAATAATAACAAATTATTTTACTACTACTTTTACTCTACTTTATTTTTAAAATACGCTATTAAAATATCTTACGGTGGTTGTAAGACACCCTGTATATGACGCACTAATTTATCACTTCAAGTTCATTTTCAATAAAAATTTTCAATTTTACATCCAGAAAAATACATTCAAGTAAATATTACTTGTTTTAAATATTTCATAATGATTATATATCTACAACTTCGATGAAGTTTTATAATATTCTTATAAAAAAAAAATTAATTTTTTTTTGGGATACATAATAATGAAATTTTCCAAAATATGATGAGTATATTTTAGAATTATTATCTCAAGAAAAAGAAATATAATCTTAAGAAAATAAAAAGTAAAAGTGAAAAAATGAGTCATAAAAATTAGAAAAATAAATAAAAAATTAGACGGTCGTTCCATGGTGCAAAACAAATTTCAGCCGGATCACGTGCGTCTTGATGATGTCAGGATTTTGGCAATTATTTCAGTACCTTTCCGACTATGCGCTTCTATGATCAGTCTCTCCTTAAAGTTCCTCGGCTGACACATTTTAACGCGCAGACATTCCAACAACGTCGACAGTTGGTCCCTTCGTAATAAGAAGTTTGCGTATTTCAGACACAAAGTTACAAAAGTTGACGTCAGGAAAAGTACTTCCGTCACGTCGTCGATGTGATTGCGCATGCGAATCAACTCGATCACCTCGGATATCGTCAACTGATATATCAACAGGAGAACCGCGTACCTACGAGCACCAATATTGTAATCAAGAATTTTCAAAACAAACGATCTGAGATTGACACTATTTTCATCTTTAAAACATACATTTTTTAAATAACTTTCACTTGTTTAACTCAAGGGATACAGATCTTCTGATTTGCTTACACAGATTTGCATGGTATTGGCTTGCATTGGCCTTCTAATTTAACTCTTTTTTTTATGATATCCGCCTTATTTTTATCACAGTCGTGTCTTGCTCATCTCTTCACTTATAAATACCTGTAACAAGAATGCAAGAAAGCGAGAACGATATTCTGGTCCTTTTGTTCCTTCCACGCGCCGCAGAACCATAGAACTTTGAAATTCACAGGCAGGATATCCATAATCTCTTCGTGTTATCACCCTTGTGTCGCTTAGTCTAATTTCAGTCGATATACATATTCTTTTCCGTATCTAGATAATGTATAAGAGTCGAGACGTTCGTATAAAAATGACGGGAAATCGCCGCGTCATTCCGGCGCGGCGAACTTCATTATTAATAGCGTGCGTGCCATATTATCTCGAACGCATTTGAAATTTTAATACGGTCGATGGAGTGTTCCTTCTCGAGTTTTTCCTCCACATTGCAAAGAGAAGGAAAAAATGAATATATTTGCCTATATGTTCTCGACATAATAATAGGAGTGCCGTAATAGACGACGCATGTCGTGCCTATCGTTGACAGAGTATATGTACTCAATGAGGCTTTCTATTAATACTTGATGAAGTATTAAATATCGACGTTCTCTATGCTTCACGAATAAATTACGTGTATGAGGGACTTCTTGCTGAAGATCGTTGTGTAGGACGCGAACGAAATTATACTACGTGATATGCATAAATACTTAATAGTTTCAGTAATCTAGAAAAGTTTCTATTTCAAAGGATTTTTACGTTTGCTTGAGGTACACGGATGTAAAAAGGACGGCATGCAATGCGTTGTTTTCTCTAAAAATACATATCTGCTCTGTCACATCGACGACTGTTGCAGGACGTTGAAAGTGGAATAGGACGTCTTCAGTATCTGCAACACAATCGTCTTCATTTCGTCATTGCTATCGAGTTATCCCAGCAAACACAACGTTACATGTAACATACATGTTAGTTATAATTTCCTACTCAACAATGTAACTGTTATATAACATACGTGTTATATAACAATTATATTGTTGAGTAAGAAATTACAACTAACATGTATGTTACATGTAACGTTGTGTTTGCTGGGACATGTATCGCACGCCATCGTCGTCATGAACTTTACCCAGGTGAAAGTATCGAGAGCCAAGTTGAAGATGCCGTAATAGGACAGCTTCAGTCCCCTCTGACTGATGGTCATCACGAACAGCAAACTTCTGCGATCTCTCAACGTGGCGGTCGTCCAATCGCTCGAGTAAACAGCGTCACCGATGCTTTTGCTCTACGCACGCGACAAAAAAATTCCTTATCAGCCACCACGGTAAGCTCCCAAGCTTCGGACGATCTATGTACAATTCGGAACAGAATTGTAGATACAGATAGTGTATAATAAGAAAAAATCAACGCAAAGAAGAAAATATAAAGAAATGCAAAGAATCCAAATAGCACGCGAATGTCTTTCAGATATCCCAAAGACATTCTTATTGGATATCCTGAGGATATTATGTTGTGATCTACGTACTTCTTCAGAATGTTTCAAAGAATATCACAAGTGAACGTTTCAAGTATGAAAATCCTCAGGATATTCTATTTTAAAGTTCTAAGAATGTCTGTAGTATTTCGTTATAGTTTTATGAACGCGATTCCGATTGCACAGATATCCTCTCGATTTCGGATCAGAGATCATCCAAAAACGAGCTTGAGAGCAGACAATCACCCGTCGATTCGGATCACCTTCAGTTGCAGCTCGTTTCCATACCAGCAGTAGAAGAACACTTGAAAGAGCATGCATCCGAGATACAAGACCAACGAGAGAAATCCGACACTGAGAAGCCTCTTCTGCGAAGTAAACTTCTGGTCAGTATACTCGCACGGCGATATGTGCCGCACTTTGCGTACTAGATACTTCAGCAGTAGCGGTGTTTCTTTTATTACCGACGACCTGTTGTGCGCTATACAAAAACAAAAATACACTCTGATGTGTTCGATTTTTACAACGCCCGTTAAACCATAACCTAAATAGCACAATATACCACAGAAACACGAGATCTGTTTTATATAACCTTGGACATCTGGAAAATACTGGTGCACAGGGTGACCATGCTGAAAATGAACAAAATCGTCACGGTCCACACGAACAGCGACTGTATCCTGCGCACTAACTCGCGTACGTGCAGGTGGTGCTTCACGCATTCGTCGATCACCGCCGCTCTGTTCGATTTGGTCCGGTATTGATCGGTGTCGAGATGATCCTTGAAGATCTCCGACAGCCGGTGGCGCAGCAGGTCGATTTGCCCGCAGGCGTGAAGAATGAAGCCATAAACGAGGGAGTCGAAGGAGACGTTGAGCAGGACCCCGTAAAATATAGCAGCCACGTGCTGCAAGTACGTCGCCACATATAGGTACCAGCCGGATATGGAGTATGGCATATACGTCTTGAAGGGCAACGGTCTGTCGGTGTCCTGCGGCCCCACAATAGGAGCGAACACGAGAGCCCAGCAAGTAGCTTGAGATATGCTCATGAAAGTCCTGACGCACCACTTGGCTGCAAGTAACACACAGGTTGTTGCACTTACTTGCAGATCAGTACAATGAGTTATCTATTTATTTCGCTGGCAGGTGCGCGTACACAGAGAATTGAATTAAATAAATGTTTCTTTGGAATATAGCCCAAATAAATTTTTTGATTGACACAACAAAAATATTTCTTTGGAAATAAATATTTTTGTTGCGTCAAATAAAATTTTATTCAATCAATCAAAAAATTTGTTTGGACTATTTACAAAGAAGTGTTTGATTCAACCAAGTCGTTCTCTCTGTGTAGTTGTACGCTATCTCACAAGTAAACTTACCCAAAAGTTACACCCTGATTTCTTTCTAGTTTGGCACAAATGTAGAAGTAAAAAAAATATTTAGGTCATATTTTTTAATTTTGACCCACTTTAGTTTTACGGGCAATTTACAGCTTTTTAATGTTCTCATCAACAAGCATGCAACAAAAATGTATAAGAAATAAAATTGAATATAGGCGTTTTTTATTTGCTGATTATGAATATAAAGCCAAATGTATAAAATTATTTGTATAAATAATAAAATATTGAAACAAAACATATAAAAAGTTGAAAAAAATTATTTATATAAATAATTTTTCGGTTTGACCGAGATTCGAACTATTTTTGACTAATTTAGCACAGATTTGAAATATTTTGATTAGAATCTCGGCTAAAGAAATTTAAAATGGTTCATGTCTCAGTTATGTCGATTTTGTTAAAATTTTAATTAAAATTGCCGGATTTCTCGGTTTGGCCGAGATTCGAACCATTTTTTACTAATTTTAGCATAGATTTAAAATATTTCGGTTGAGATCTCGGCTAAAGAAATTTAAAATGGTTCATATCTCAGCTATGCCAATTAAAGCTATGCCGATGTTAAAATTATTTAACTATATCTTGTATTCAATTTTATTTCTTATGCATTTTTGTTGTGTTTGTTGATGATAAGAGTAAAAATATTAAAAAGCTAAACTGCCCGTTAAACTCAAAATACCAAAATAAAAAAATATGACCTAAATATTTTTTGTACTTATACATTTGTGCCAAATTAGAAAGAAATCGGAGTGTAGATTTAAAAATCTTTTGGGTAAGTTTACTTAAATTTAGTAGGTCTTGACAGAATGCTCATTTGCGCGCTCTTTTTCCTATGAAGTTCCAAGTGAACATTCCTACCGAGAAAAACCTATCGAGATTGCGCACCATTACATGCACCTGCCTGCGAAACGCACAGGCAAACCATCGTACTGATTTGTATATAAGTGCAACACCCTGTACATTTCCAGATGCACATTTCCAATGCATGATCTTTAAGTGTATTTCTTAAAATAAAATATTATAATATTACAATTTTGAATTGAGTTGATTTCAGAATCTGTGGAAGATCACGAGGGATAACGAGTGATTATTGCGTTAAAAAGTATCGATATTCTAATCTAGACATAAAATTTGGACACAACTTTTAGAAATAATCTCCAGAACAGTCGATCATCACAATAGAAGAAAAGGGAAGAAAGAATTCCTGTTTGTCTACCTTTACGGTCGTATTTAATTAGGATCATCTGTTCCTCGAAATTTTTTGGTTGGCACGTCTCACCCCGGAAACAATTCAACAGCGTCGACACTTCGCCTCGTCGCACTAAGAAGTTTCCGTATTTAAAACACAAGGCTACATAAGTTAGTGTTAGGAAGAGACCCTCTGTTATATCCTCAATGTGGTCGCGTGTCCTCACAAGTTCGATCACTTCCGATATCGTAAACTCGTATATTAAAATCACTATAGCGTATCTAAAAGTTTCATTTTCACAACATCCAGTGAAAAATATATAGTCTAATTCAAACGTTATAAAAGAAATTAATCAACGGAGAGAATTACAATATCACATCATTATCATACCTGTAGCAAAAATTCAAAAAACGAACGAAAGGATTGCTCTCTTTTCGCTCACTCCACGCGCCGCAGAACCACAACACTCGAAAGTTCAGCGGCAGTATGTCCATAATTTCGATGATATTGCACCCGGACAGCAATCACCCACTCGTCATGTCTCGCTGTACTTCGAAATGTCGCAACTCAGGTTGTGGAAAAAGAAAAAATGCAGCGAGACGTATATTGTCTACGATCATCTTCGTGAATTAGTGATGACGCCGTTAGAACGTTCTGAACGTTCCTTAACATTTCATGCATCGTTGAATAGCGGACGGAGCTCCATATGCGGATTTCCTCTTTTAGCTGTATATTTTCCCTCTAGCCGTCATATTTATTTTGAATACTCTTCTCTGGGCGAAGACGCAGCTGTACATTATTTTTATAAATTATGTGATCGCGTAATGTATACTTTCTATGCGAAGTAGAGATGCAGGATAGATAAATCGGGATATTGGGAGTCCAGTGAAGGATATATTATCGAAGTGCCATTACTTTCAATGGGATTTATTCACGAGTAATTTATTTCTTTTTCGTTCATTTCAGAAGAACTAACAAACGGAAGTTTTGCAAGAGGAATGCAATCATGAAACTGTGAAAGTGTTTAAAACGGACTACAGGTGTATTTTCGGATTTGTATGTCCGATCGAATTGCTCGGAAAATTATTAATATAGGAAATCTCATTTTATTCCCTTCCTCTTACGATGAATCACACGAAATGTGCTTAAGGCAATCTACAAAGCATCTAGTACAAAAATATCTACAATTCTATCGGTATCTATAAATATACAGTATAAACTACAATATATCTACAAACATGATACGAAAATACAATCAGTATAATTCCGATTGGTAAACTCGGAACAAAGAACGGTAAGTTTCGTCGTGCATTTCACTACCGGCGCGAGATACTAACTCGAAGCTTGCTGCAGTAAGTTGAAAGCAGAGTAGGACGTCTTCAAAATCTAGGCAAGTATGAAAAATAAGCATGTCATTTATAACATTCCAGTAAACACAAACTAAGAGTAGTATTATCAATATTATAATTTATAATATCCGATCGAAATTATTTTTTTTTCAGTTTTGGTCAAAATCAAACACGAATATACAATCTTTTTTACAATTTTGACTGAAATTTCGGTTGTAACTGAAACTTTTGTAGCAGTTTTAAAAAAACCAAAAAGAAAAGTTATGAAATAAAAAATTAATAATGAAAAAATATACTTTATTAAATTTTAATAAAGCACAACATTTAAGAAAATTTCAGTGATTTTAATGATAACAGATGTAATAAACAAAAAAATTAAAATTAAAATAACAATCTTTAAACAACTTGACTAAAAATTTATCCTTGGTCCTGGTCAGGTTGATCTCAATCAGTTATCTAATTAGTATAAGGTGATGTTATCAGATCCTGATGGAATATGCAACGCAATGTAGCAATCAGGACCTTACTAATAATAAGCATTATTAATAACAAGATCTTTATTTATAATTAGATCCCGATAACATTACTGATGAATTATAACATCGATGTAACGTTATTGTTGATGTATTTATTGAGATCTTGTTAAATCTGCATTGTGTGCTTCTCAACTGTATATTTTTTAAAGCTTTGAATCACTATGTCGCATGTACTCACCCACGTAAAGGTGTTAAGAAGCAAAGCGAAAATTCCATAAAAAGAAAGTATCCTTCCTCGTTGGCTCATCATCATCACGAGCATCAAACTTTTACGTTGCATGGTCGACACCGCCGTCCAGTTGCTGATATAAATAGCGTGCGCAATACTTTTGTTCTAAATAAAACATATATTCGTGACACAACAGGCAGATACGAGAGATTATCAAGTAATAAGATTAAGATATTAGCGATACCTTCAAGTCGAGTTCGTTACCGAACCAGCAATACGAAAATGCTTGAAACATCATCGATCCTAAGTACATTATAATCGTAAAAAATTCAGGACTGAACATCTCTTTCTGCAAAATTTGATTTCGATTTTACCAGAGCGCATCTTACATTTATAATAGGCTTGTTTCTTTCAGCTGAACTAGTATTGCACTGGAACTATATTCCTTTCATTAATGTTAGATTATATAAAGTGCCTGACCCAAAATGTAGATTAAGTTAAAACTGAATACAAAATTCTTTTACTATTCTGCAAATAATCACGTAGATTTTTTACTAATTAAAGTTCTTTAATTTAAGTTCTTTAATTTTTACTAATTAAAGTTCTCTAATTAAATTTCTTTAATTAGTTACTAATTAAAGAATATTAAGGGATAATCGCTCACGATTGCTCGTCAATCTCCTTTAATTAACAATTGAAAATTTTGCGTGGTTGTTTGTAAAATAGTAGAGGAATTTTTTGTTTAGTTTAGCCTAACCTACCTGCACACGAACATTCTATACACTTGTTTTATTCTAAAGGCAAAAAGTACAATCTACTTCAGATAAAAAGAACAGATCTAATGAAAGACGAAGTGTGTTACGCACTTACTTTGGACATCTGATAGATGCTGGTGCAGAGAGTAACGAGACTGAAGAAGAATAAAATAGCGATGGTCCACACGAACAGCGACTGTATTTTGTATATGATATGGTACACCCAGATATGATGGCTCACGCATTCTACGATAGCGAAGTTTTCAACAGCGTCGATTTTCCTCGCCTCGATCTTATTTCCCCGGAGAAACCTGAACGTCTCTGTCATTCGATGGCACAGAAGCTCGATTTGCCCGCAGGTGTGAATAATGAGACCGTAAACGAGACAGTCGAAAGACACGTTCAAGGCTATTCCGTAAATCATGACCGCGACTTGCTGGAGATAAGTTAATGCGTAAGGAAGCAACGCCTCAATAGAATACGGCAAGTACACTTTATACGGCAAACGTCTCGCGTCCAAAGCCGAGAGAGGCAATATGAGGAGGAACAAACCCGTCGTTTGACACATGATCATGTAGAACCAGGATGTCTGCTTAACTTCGTTCGTAGTGTATCACAGCAAAAATTGAGTTTACAAAATAGAGTTGCTGATTAGATTCTACGAGATGCAAGGACTTTATAAGTACACTGAGAAGGAAATACTTGAAAATTTACTTGTAGAATATAAAATGTATCCACAGAAATAAACTTTATATCTCACAAATAAATTTTTAAGTATTTTTCTTCTCAGTGTATATCTACTCTTTTATTTCAATCAAAGTAAAATCTCTCGGTTTAGAGATCATTCTTCATCATTAATAATTAATTAGATCTCTAGGAGATGAATTTTTCAATGTATTTGCGTATATGATCGTTTGCATAAAAATTGCGATATTTTTTGGACAAGTTTATAATATAATAATATTTATACTTCTGCTTATAAACTACACACACACACACACACACATATATATATATATATATATATATATATATATATATATATATATATATATATTCGCAGTCTCGTTAAATTCGCGTTCATAACTTGTCCAAAAGTATCGCACGATTTTCATACGAACGATTGGATAATGTGTCTAACTTTACATTTATAATTCTTTACTATATATATTGTTTCCTTAATATAATTTTTAAATTAGTAATATTTTTCACATTTTATATTTTTGTAAAATTATGTCAACCGCTTAATATACTGGCGTTAATAAGAATACCTTTGCGATCGTATCGCTTTAGTATTGATTCCTCCGCGCTGTTCCTTGGCTGACATAGCTTGACACGAAAGCAATCTAACAGAGCACGCACTTCGAACTGTCGCACCAAAAAGTTCAGATACTTCAGACACAGGCTCAGGTAAGTTAGAGTGACGAACAAACCTTCCGTTAATTCCTCGATATTGTTTCTTGCACGTACGAGTTCAATTATTTCTGATGCCGTGAAGTGATATATTAAAATGACGATGGCGTACCTATTGAAATTACGTGAAAGAAAGAAAAAGAAGAAGAATATGTGTGTATATTGAAAAAAATATAATAAAAATAAATATAAAAAATATAATAGAATTTATTATAGGATGTAAAGTTTATTCACTGAAATAAATTTTATTTCACAAAAATAAACATTATATCCCACAAATAAATTATCAAGTATTTTTTTCTCAGTTAGATGATTGAAGGTTGCAATTTTCCTCGATGAGTTTTGACACACATCTTGTACTCAGTAACAAAATATATCTCCTGAAAATTATTAAAAAAACAAATTCTCATATAAAATATGAAACACGTAAAATTCATGGAGAAAAAAAATGCAGTCTTTAATCATTTGACTATACAAGTCGGGGAATCTGCATCACTCGAACGATAAATAGCAACGGAATCGATTTTAACGTATCAACAGTAAACCTTTTTCATTTTGTTCCATTTGTACTCGACGTACATATCGTACGCATATATCGTAACTACCGTACCTGTAACAAAAGCTAACAAGGCGTATCATCAAGTTACTGTTTTTCCGTTCTTCCCATACGCCGCAGAAGCGAAAAACGTAGAAATTCACTGGTAATAAGTCCATATTTCTAGCGTTGCTTCCAACATAACAGAAAATCTCTCCCCGACAATGATGAGATATAGCATGTCATCAGCCTGGAATTCTTTGACTGTTTCCGACGACTATGTTCCTGCATTAATAACGACGTCTATGGTATATGGTAATATTAAGACTCATTAATTTTTAATGACGTGCGCCATACAAGACATCTACTCCTTCATCCATTCTGCTCTCTGCATATTATTATTCTTGCTTTTATATTCCTCATAGATAGTTTCAGCAATGCGCCACGCGATAGTATTTTCAGTATCAAGTAAGTTATCACTTATTCACAAAATTGTCGTCTAACATTTCTTGCAAATTTCTCCAAATAATCGTAAATGCAAAGTTGTCAAGGTAATACTGAGGATTCATTGTAAGGAATACCTTGTCCTAAGAACAAAACATTTTATATGACGAACAATTCGGTTTATTAGGGAAACGGTACGATAAGTATGAAAATCGACACAAATTCGTTTGTTAAGGTAATCGTATCGTTACGTCGTATATTTTTATATATATATATATATATATATATATATATATATATATATATATACAGAAGTGCGTCAAGAGGATCACTCATAAATTTATTATTTATCAAACAAAATTATGTTATTATACATTTGTTTCATTATCTATGTGTCACTGTTAATTTGAGACAAAGTTTATATATATACACATAATATTGCAAATATGTAAAAACTATTATTTTTTACTTTAAATTTATATATATTTTTTTTTGTATCGTGATGTAATTCTTCCGATGTTTTAATATCCGATCTTACCGATATAAAAATATTTTCGATCAGGTCGAACATAATATCGTGGATAATAATAATATCGATTGATCTTGTGGTAGACAAGAGGACGAGACGGCCATGGATGTATCTTAATATTACTATAAAACATTGGTCTCCCATGAAGCATTCTAAACGGTAAATGTTTCGATCTAAATATTAATCCGTCAGAAGTTTCGTTGCTCTTTAATGAAAAAGCGCTATTGTTACCGAGCATTTTATTAAACCGACTCATTAGCGGGGGACTTCGAGTCGCGTTAATCGTCGAAGGTGCAAGAGTATGAAGAGCCTTTCGATTAACTTCTTCGTCGTAATAAGACGTTGTCGTTGTTCCCGCTGACGGAAACGGTCGCGATAAGTCATTGTCATCGTGTAACGATGAGGAATTCATCTCCACGTTCGATCTGCGAGGTACGCATGCTCCTGACCCTTCAAGTTTGTCGCTCATTAATTACCGTCACTTATCATCCCTTTACGTAATTACGCTCGTAACTGTTCTATTTCCAAGACTGGCGCGAAAATCCGACTTTATCGAGTCTAATTCTGACATCTAATTTGCAGTGACTTATATAATCAAGTTAGAAAACCTGCGGAATTCCCAGCCAATCTTGGGCACCCTTAATCCTTAGTGGCCCTGCATGGATATTTCGAGTTCAGACGATTTCTATTCATAGAAATTTCTTAACATGTTGAAGGATCTCGAATATACTATATTTTAATTTTTTTGTACAAAAAACTACAGGTATTTGTTCTAGAAACGTGAAAGTATATCCGTGAATTTTTATAGATTTTTCGAACCATTTTAAAGATATGATAAAGATATGATAAAAGGACCAGAATCGAAAGACCCATGTAGGGTCTTTGTATGTTTGTATGTTTTTCACATAAGCCACTAAGGATTAATATGAATAGTTTCCACACACATATATTCAGAAGAGTTTGTCACTGAAATAATTTCGTTATTTTCTAAATGCCTCATCGTTCAATGCCTCAATATTCTATGCTCTTTAAATATCTTAGACTGAAATTTCACTCAGAAGGTAGGATGACTAAAGTGATATTTGAATTCGATTTTTCGTTCATATACAGTAAATTCTCTATTTTTTCGTCGAGTGGATGTTTTCATTCAATATTAAACGAGAATCTGATTACAGTATGTTGCACCTATGTACAGGTCTGTACAACGCAATATTGCAAAGAGTCTGTTTTCATGGAAAAAAAATCGTTTTATGAAACGCGAGACATAAAAAGTTCTTCTTCTTGCAAACTAAAAATATAGTATCTGAAATAATATAATGCGTCTACGCATAAAAAACGCATAAATAACATAAAATTTTGATCAAATACCAATCTAACTGTTCGAAAAATTGAAGCGAACCAAAAGAATTGTAAGTACACATATGAGTATCTATATTAAAGGTTCATATCTTTCATAAATTATCAGTAAATTAGTACTAGAGTGAAGGTGGAATTATTCGGATCAGAATCTGCTTTTTGAATAATTTTACAAGAACTGTAGGAGACTCTCGTCTCTTTTAGAACCGAAATCTCTTCAAGCCGTCGGGAGAAGTAACGAAGAGTGTCTTGTATACTTACAAGGTTGGCACACGTACGTCTGGATCAGTTTACAGGGCAGTCCGTACACGATGGGAGTGTCGTAACTTGCACGATCCAAGTTCAAGCAATTCGCATCATTGTCGCGACATTGTCCAGCCATACACCACGGAAGAAAGCTGGCTCCTATCTCGGGGACTGATTCACCGGTGCTTTCCCAGATCCATCTTCGTATCGTCATGCCACCGAGCGTCATTTGCAACAATTTTCGCCGGCCGTCAATCCAAATGTGTCGCAGTTCTATAATTATCATTAAGTAAAAATCATTAACTCACGAACACAAAGTAAATAATTGATTCCGCGATTACGCAGTAAACTAATTGACAATATCATTATATTAATATTACAAATCTACTTAACAATGTAACGTAATTGTTGCGTAACACACTTGTTATGTTGCATTTACATTGTTAGGTGGGAAATTATAACATTGATGTTACGTTACTGATAGTTGGTGTTTTTTTACTGACAAGGAAACCCACACAAGTGTCTGCCTCCGATTTTCATAAACTTGTAATATGTTGTACTTTAGATCAAAATAACAGATACGTTTATATTATGTGTCCTTTCGCAAATTTAGGGGGTGAAATACCCCTTTAAAGAAAATCGGTTTTTTTCATTCGAAAGGAATATAATGAAAACTATAAGAGGTAGAAAAAAATATTTTGAATAAAAGTTAAATGGTTTGTGAAGAGTATTTTACAGAAATTATTTGAAAACAAAATATTTTTGTTAATATTTCACCACTTCTTCTGATTATAATTATTAAAATAATTTCTGTAAAGTATTCTTTAAACTATTTAATTTTTATTGACAATTTTTTTTCTATCTCTTATAATTTTCATTATATTCCTTTCGAAAAAAACAGATTTTCTTCAAAGAGATATTTCACTCCCTAAACTTGCGAAAGGCACATATAATAAAAAACATATCTGTTATTTTGATCTAAAGTACAACATATTACAACTTCATGAAAATCGGAGGCGGACACTTGTATGGGTTTCCTTGTGAGTAACGATATTCGATCGAACGCATTTCGCTTGCAACTAGTGACTGTTTTATATTTTCATATTATGTCTAAAATATTTATATTACGTAAAAATTTTAATGCTCACTTTTAATGCATAATATATTCTGTCAATTCTTTCTAGTATATACTATTTCTAACGTGTGTGCGTTATCTTACCTTCTCCGTTATCTTCCATCAGAGACATCATATGATTAATTATTTTCGGAGAATCCAATACGACGAGCGACGCGTTTAATTCTTTACATGAGATTTGAGCTTGAAACCACGTAAGCCCGCGGAATCCGATCCAATAAAGGCATTCCTCGATGTAAACCATAACAGGCTTTTTGCTTATTGGCTTCTTGGATGCTGAAATTACGATTCAACGAAATTACCTCTAAATGGATTACTTTCCGTAAATATTGTAACAATCCTCCCAACATAACGCAATAGTTAATAAACAAATTAACAAACAAAATACCGCGAAATGTCGAATCGATACTAACGAAAAATGTAAACATAGCACCGATCAACCGCAAAAACAACATCGAATCATATGATTCGGTGTATAAAACCCGTCACGAAAACCGAGACGGCACGCAGTTCTTCCGAGACACTCCGCTGACAAGAGCTAGACTTCGACAGCAGAAGCCTCTCGAACACGTCAACCGCTGCGAACCCGCCACATCCTAGATACCGCTCCGTCGACTCGTGGATACGTGTAGTCGACATCTTCCTAACCGTTCCATCCACTCGGGGATTCGTGCAATCCTCCATCGGTTCAGACACGACTAGAATTAAGCAGTCTTATACACCGAATCTCGTATGATTCGGTGTTGTTTTTGCGGTTGATCGGCGCTATGTTTACATTTTTCGTTAGTATCAATTCGACGTTTCGCGGTGTTTTATTTGTTAATTTATCTATGAATTTGTGAATTTAGTTTTAAAATTAAACGCATTTATGCAAAATTTCTAATTCGAAGACATTGTTGTACCGCACAAGTTGCCAAATATTACCAAACTTATAAAATTTATAATTTATAAAGTTATTACATTTTTTACAGTTACCTTAATTTTTTTACACTTACACATAGGCATTAAATATTTTATAAGTGTAATTTTACAACTACATTTATAAGATACTTAAATTTACTCAGGAAAAAAAGTTAATTATATTAACATAATAATGATACGAAATTAAATATGTTTTGATTGAAGAAAATAGTAATTTCTAATTCCTAAAGATTAAAATTGTTATATAAAAATCAAAAATTCTGTCTTATTCAACCGTGTTTAATTGTGTCATTGTTATGCTAATTCAATCAATCTGTTTTCCTGTGTATGTATGAGATGAGTAATGATATAATTAACTTTGTATATAAAGTAATTAATCTTTTTTAAAAGAAATAATATATTACGTGAGTAATTCGACGAATCGATTTATGAGGTGATTATGCATATTATGTATTCTATGTTAATGCTCCAGTCGTGACTCTTACGCCTTTGGCATATAACATCACGCTTACGGTCGCACTTTGCCTTCAAGTAAACCGGTAGTTCGCACACATGCCTGTCTAACAAAAGACAACCGTGAGATCCTCTGTTGTCGTCCCTCCATAAATTATTGTTTGAAATACTGCTGCTAGACGGCAACCACTTCCACGTGTAGTCGCTCGCGTAACCGCCAATCCATGCATTCTCAATCGTTTCTGAAATTAGCCGGTATTACGACCTCCAGATACACAAGTAAGTCAATAATTTATTACAATAGATATTCTTATCTGAAGATTAATTATTTGTTTCTAGGTTTTTTAACGTAAATATCAATCGACAAGACGTCTAATATTGCAAATCAAAGCGGCCACGTCGTAGACACAACTATTCGGAAAATTTTGCTAAATTTTCCAAAAATCACGCATTGTCTCGTTTCATGAAATACCAGGTCGAGTTTGTATCATGAGAAACGCCAAGGACTGAGCCTCTGCCGTTGTCTTGACTTCAGCAATCTGCAAGCCTTCCTTGCGACAGTTGATCACGGCTTCCGACCAGGTGAGTCTCGCAGAGTACAGAACAAATTCTTCTTCATCCACGCGGATAGAACTCATCATCTTCATAGTTACATCGTTGTACTTTTTTCTAGCTAAATGTTGCAAAAGTAATTGAACCATTTTGGTCAAACCAAATTGGTATCGTTTATGGTTCATATTAAAAAAAAAAATAAAAGAAATTATCGTTACCTCTTTGACAAATGAAGGATCTCCGCTGATTGCATCGTAATGGAACGAAAATCGGTACATCGTGACTAAATCTGTCTATACTCAGGCATTGTAAATCTTCACCGAAGGAATCCGGATACCGTAGACTAACATTTCGTCGTGACACATTCTTCAGGATCGTCCTACTTCCGCCCGAGATCCAGAACCAAGAATTGGAAGAATCTTCGCGCGCTCCAATCCATACATGATCGCTAATCGCTATTTACACAAGTTATTATCGTTCTTCTTTTATATCTTTTTCTTTAAATTATACACGAAAGAAAACTAATAAGAGTCAACGCAACATAAATTATGAAACTTAATCTTTAACATGCTATCATGGTTTATTTTATATGGTTTATTTTAAGGATTTTCCCTAAACAGAGATCACTTTCCAGATAACACAGAAAATTCAAAAAAAATTCAAAAAGAATTCAGTTGTATGTCACTAATTCCGAGTTCATTTTCAGATACAAAAAGAATTTTTTAGAGTTCAGTTCGGTGAAAAGAATTCTTTTTGCGTCTAAAAATGCACTCAGAATTGGTGACATACGACTGAATTCTTCTTGAATTCTCTATGCTATCTGTATTTTATCTGGGTTCGTATTTTTTTTTTTTTTTTTTACGAATTTTAGTTTGCACACAATATTGTAAGTATATCTATAGAATATTAAATTCAAATATTCTAGAATGAAGAAAATTCATATTTTATAAGAATATTCATAGAATATTTTATACTGTCTGGGTCAGCATCTCCTCGAGTGGATTTCAATCGGGTTTTCCCCGACTCCAACTGGGTTTCGATACTCACGTAGATCACTGTCGGCGATCTCGCGGCTTACAACTTGTGCTTGTCGATCGGTGTTCACCGTCGCAAGCTCGGCTTTGTAACTCAAACATATGACACAAGCCTCGTGCCAGGTGACACCGTAGCTGCACAAAATATATTCCGTTTCGTCGTGAACAAAGGTATGCGTATCGAAGTAATCGTGCGATAAATCTACAATGTATACCATAAACTGTTGAAGCTGTTTGACGATATCAATCATTAATCTATGAGCACTTATAAAAGATGAAAAAAATTCTCTTTCTTCACAAAAGGAAAAGTGTTCACTAGTTGGTCCTACGGATGATCATTTTCCATCGAGACATCAATATTAATGATTATCAGAATTAATTAATTTCAGCAGGTATGTATTTACACTTGCAAATGTAAATTAAGTTATTAATTTTATAGATTAATATATCGTAAGAAACTACTCGTTGCACGAAGTATCGGGTGAGACAAATTGTTTCTTTATCGGAAATATTTATAAGTATTCAAACACTAATGATCGATACAGAATATTATACGTAATATGATGTATTTTTGAGAAATATTGCAAGTTCATTATATGTTCGAAAACAAATATGAGGTACATCCGTCATACTTAAAATGTGCGCGGCGATTTCCAAAATCGACATTAAAAAATATAGCGGAACAACGACAATCGTTAACATTACGCTCGATATATCGTTGCAGCTGCCAGCCCGATTAGCCTTCGACTGATTTTATCGCTGGCTAATTCAAACGGCAATCGCTCATGTTTCTAAACAAAACGCACCAATAATTTGCTCTCAATATAGTGTTAAAATCACGACTACTTATACCCAAAGAATGCAGAGGGAAATTAAAGCGACACGAAAGAAAATCGTAAAACTATGAATTAGTAAAGATAAAATATAATAAATAGTGAATTTTTGCGACTCATTTTATTTGACAATTCGCATTTGTATTATAAATCTCAATGTTTAATAATCAACTGCATTTTAAAATAATAAAAAATAATAATTGGTTAATTCTGATGCTTTGATAATTGCTTGATATTTGATAAATTATTAATAGCAATCTTTAATAATAATATGTTGAAAATCCATAATTGATCTATACGGTACTTTAAGGCTAATATTATATGTGTCATACGACAAGCTCTAGACTGCGTTCGGAAACACACACTGTGTGCACACTACTAGACAATAGCGGTTGGAGTGAGCGAAATACAAGAGTGAGATAAAAAGAGAGGGAGAGTACTCGAGTGACGTTTCCGAACGCAGCCCTAATTGACTGTCGAATAGAATATATCTGAGGTATATGGGGAAAAAGTTAGGGACCTTAAGCTGGCCACACACACTTTTCATAATAGTAACCGTAATGCAGGATTTATACCGCGTCCGATGTCCGACGTACGACGTCCGATATCCAATAAGAGAACAGCTTTCTAATAGAGAATTCAATTCTCTATTGGAAAGCTGTTCTTTTATTGGATATCGGACGTCGTACGTCGGATATCGACGCGGTGTGAATCCTCCATAAGAATTGACCAATTATGTTGGAAATCGTCCTGCATTATGCAGGATTCACACTGCGTTTGATGTCCGACGTACAACGTCCGATATCCAATAGGAGAATAGCTTTCTAATATAGAATTCAATTGGACAGCTATTCTTTTGGCTGCGTTCCGAAATTCACTTCCAGTACTGAAAATCTATAGTTCATGTCACATATATTATAGAATTTCAGTACTGGCAGTGAATTTCGGAACGCAGCCTTTATTGGATATCGAACATCGTACGTCGGACATCGTCGTGGTATGAATCCTGCATTATTCTTGAAATAGTTGCGTATATGTAAGTTATGTACTGCGCAGCTATTTTATGATATGATTAAACCTGCGCAGTAAAACTTACGTATACGCAATTATTTCAAGAATATAGGCCCTGGAATCGCGTAGACAAATCCTGAATTGACTTTGGAGACCTCGCGCGAGGAGAGTCCGAAGCTTCTGCCTCTGTGTGTAAGTATGCCATACCCCCCCCCCCCCCCCG